AATTGAAGTTAATTGTTTTGGATACGTACTGTTTTTTAAATAAAAACTTATACGGGAGCAATGCAGCATATCGCTGAACACTCCCAGAGTTACCACAAGGACCAGTTTGGTGTGGCACCCCAAAAATGTCTTTGGCCCATCTGGCCACCCCTATCAAAAATTTCTGGAGGCGCCCCTGAGACATGAAGCATGCCACCAAGGTGCGGTACATCAGTAAAATAAAACAATGTGAGAATTACAGAATAAGAGCATGTTCAACATCAGCAGGAGCTAACCCACAGAGTTACAAGCCAGATCACAAAGTAGGTCTTCAGACTCATTTTAAAACCCGCTACTGATGGAGAGCGCACCGTTAAGATAAGTGCGTTCCATAGTTTAGGTCCTTCTACCGAGAACGCCCTATCCCCTTTATCTTCAGCCGAACTCTGGGAGCCAAAAGCAGATGCTGGTTCTTGGAACGAAGTGCTCAAGCAGAAGCATATGGCTGCAACATCTCTATCAAGTAGGTTGGACCCAACCATTCAGTGCCTTAAACAAAGAAGCTTAAAATCGACAGGTAGCCAATGCAGACCAGCCAGAATTGGTGTCACATGATCAAAATTTCTCTTGCCTTCCAGGAATCTCGCTGCAGCATTCTGAATGAGCTGCAGGCGAGCTACAGTACCCTGAGTAGCAGTAGTCGAGGCGCGAGGTAATGAAGGCATGAACAACATCACAAGATCCAATCCTGACAGAAATGGCTTCACTTAGACAAGCGTCTTAAAAGATAAAAGGAAGAGCATACCGCAGTACTAACATGGGCATCAAAGCAGATTGCGTTGTTTATCTTCACGCCTAGATTGACTGCAGAAACATTTATGTAGGAATGTTAATGCCCACAGTCCACCTCAGGAAAATCACAGCATCTATTTGGTCCAAACAATGATGCCTCTGTTTCATTTCCATTGAGACACAAGAAGTTTTCAAGTTCTGTCAAACAGTCCATGAAATTCCTATCAAGTAGTCTCCAGCGCCATCCAAAGGTAGACGTAAATCCTTAAGATGGAAGTCAATTCCATACTTCCTCACAATGTCACCCAGTGGGAAAGTATGAATTGAAAACAACAGGGGACCCCGTATCGAACCATGCGGGACACCCTAAGACAGATACGAGAAGGTGGAAGAAAACCCATCCACCCTCACACAAACCATGGAGATAAGATCTAGACCAGCTCAAGGCCTGACCAGAAATCATCACTTAGTGTCCAAGACGATGGAGCAGCACTTTGTGGTCCGCTGTATTTATTATTTAACCAGATGGCGATCTTTCTCCTTTACAACAACTGTATCAACAGCTGCTGTGAGATCCAACACTGGATCACCCCCATCAGCTGCTAATTAAAAGCCTTCATCGGTGCAACATTTTAAAACCTCACTGGAAGATCTCTAAAATATTGAATTTATTAAAAAGTTCAGCAGTAGATTTGGACACATTTTTCTAGCACCTTATTCACAAAAGGAGTTTAGAGATTGTCCTGTAATCATCTGGCAGCGAAGCATCCATCCCAGGCTCCTTTAGAAGAGACGAACCGTCTTTAAAATCTGTTGGCACAAAACCAGAAGCCAAACTGCTGTTTTGCAGCGATGCAACTGCTAAACTTCCCAAAGCAGAAGTGGGGACAGAACATCCTCCAGTCCATGGGTTTTTGCTCCTCTACCAGCCTAGCTAAGTCATCTAGCGAGACCGGTGGAAAAGAGCTGCAGGTACAGGTCTGCACAAGGTTGGGATTAAAGGCTGTCTTTGCAGATTTAACAAGTTGCTGATAGGATTGCCACCTTTTCCTTAGGGCAGTCAGAGATACATGCAGCTTGTCCGTTATCCACCACCACCACCACCACCATCATCATCATTCTGCAGCGACTAAAGAATCGAGGGAGTTTAAGTGTCTTCCACAGTGCCTTAGAGCCAATATGCTCCCTGTCCAACATTATCAGTGTTAATGTGGGTCACTGAGGCGTCTGCTGTCCAGAGGCAGCATGCTTGTGTGATGATGTCATGACCCCCCCCCCCCACCACCACCACCACCACCACCACTGTGGGTCTGCCCCCAGCAACTAAACAGCAGAAGCTAGAAGCTTCTGTCTCTTCCTGTTAGACAGCCGCTGCTGGAAAACCCCAGAGGTGTCCCCTCAGAGGATGGATGGAGCACCTGTTGAAGCCTATAACCTAATGCTGACATCTAGTGGCCACTCTGTGAACTGCAGCTAACCCAGACTGAACCCTTTTCTGTCCCCAGTCCTCTGTCCATCCCCTGGTCCCCCTTCTCCTCTACAGCGACAGACACCTGCCTCTCGAGTCTCCGTACAGCCAGCCAATCAGAGAGCCTGCTGTCGAACAGGCTGACCCTTTCCTGTGGACGCGCTCATGTTTCCATGGCAACAGTGTCTCCAGGTGTGCCGGAGAGGGTCCAGGCCATTCTTAACTGTTTAGGAACAAGGATCAACCATTTACCTGGTTATTTGCCTGTTTACCTGGTTATTTACCAGTTTGCTCACCCATTTACCTGGTTATTTACCCGTTTGCTCACCTGTTTACTTGGTTATTTACCCATTTGCTCACCCGTTTACCTGGTTATTTACCCGTTTGCTCACCCGTTTACCTGGTTATTTACCCGTTTGCTCACCCATTTACCTGGTTATTTCCGTTTACCTGGTTATTTACCAGTTTGCTCACCTGTTTACATGGTTATTTACCCGTTTACCTGGTTATTTGCCTGTTTACTCACCCATTTACCTGGTTATTTACCAGTTTGCTCACCTGTTTACATGGTTATTTACCCGTTTACCTGGTTATTTGCCTGTTTACTCACCCATTTACCTGGTTATTTACCAGTTTGCTCACCTGTTTACATGGTTATTTACCTGTTTGCTCACCCGTTTACCTGGTTATTTACCCGTTTGCTCACCTGTTTACTTGGTTATTTACCCATTTGCTCACCCGTTTACCTGGTTATTTACCCGTTTGCTCACCCATTTACCTGGTTATTTCCGTTTACCTGGTTATTTACCAGTTTGCTCACCTGTTTACATGGTTATTTACCCGTTTACCTGGTTATTTGCCTGTTTACTCACCCATTTACCTGGTTATTTACCAGTTTGCTCACCTGTTTACATGGTTATTTACCCGTTTACCTGGTTATTTGCCTGTTTACTCACCCATTTACCTGGTTATTTACCAGTTTGCTCACCTGTTTACATGGTTATTTACCTGTTTGCTCACCCGTTTACCTGGTTATTTACCCGTTTGCTCACCTGTTTACTTGGTTATTTACCCATTTGCTCACCCGTTTACCTGGTTATTTACCCGTTTGCTCACCCATTTACCTGGTAATTTCCGTTTACCTGGTTATTTACCCGTTTGCTCACCCATTTACCTGGTTATTTCCGTTTACCTGGTTATTTACCAGTTTGCTCACCTGTTTACATGGTTATTTACCCGTTTACCTGGTTATTTGCCCGTTTACTCATCATTTACCTGGTTATTTACCAGTTTGCTCACCTGTTTACATGGTTATTTACCTGTTTGCTCACCCGTTTACCTGGTTATTTACCGGTTTGCTCACCCATTGACCTGGTTATTTACCCGTTTACCTGGTTATTTACCCGTTTACTCACCCGTTTACCTGGTTATTTCCGTTTACCTGGTTATTTACCAGTTGTTCACCTGTTTACCTGGTTATTTACCCATTTGCTCACCTGTTTACCTGGTTATTTACCCGTTTACCTGGTTATTTACCCGTTTGCTCACCCATTTACCTGGTTATTTACCTGTTTACTCACATGTTTATCTGGTTATTTACCTGTTTACTCACCCATTTACTCACCGGTTTACCTGGTTATTTACCTGTTTGCTTACCTGTTTACTCGGTTATTTACCTGTTTACTCACCTGATTATTTACGTGTTTGCTCACCCGTTTACCTGGTTATTTACCTGTTTACCTGGTTACTCACCTGTTTACTCACCCATTTACCTGGTTATTTACCTGTTTACCCACCTGATTATTTACCGGTTTACTCACCTGATTATTTACCCGTTTCCTCACCTGTTTACCTGTTTCCTCACCTGTTTATTTACCTGTTTACTCACCTGGCTATTTACCTGTTTACTCACCCATTTACATGGTTATTTACCTGTTTACCCACCTGTTTATTTACCCGTTTACCCACCTGTTTATTCACCCATTTACCTGGTTATTTACCTGGTTACTCACCCATTTACCTGGTTATTTACCTGGTTACTCACCCATTTACCTGGTTATTTACCTGGTTACTCACCCATTTACCTGGTTATTTACCTGTTTACCCACCTGTCCCCAGCAGCAGACAGCCCGTGAAGAAGCCTCTGAATGCCTTCATGCTCTACATGAAGGAGATGAGACACCAGGTCCTGCAGGAAGGACAGGAGAGGGAGAGCGCCGCCATAAACCGCATCCTGGGCCGCAGGGTGAGTCATGTGGTGATGTCACAGGGGTATTCACACCTGTCTGGCCATATTTCTAAGAGAAGCCCCTCCCCTTGTCCTTCAGTGGCACGCCCTGTCCCCGTCAGAACAGTCCAAATATTACGACCTGGCCCAGAAGGAGAGACGGCTCCACCTGCAGCTCCACCCTGGCTGGTCCGCCAGGGACAACTACGTACGTATGACACGTATGACATCATCGTCATGGAGAGGAGATGAGGACGAGTCTCATCTTCTTCCGTTTCAGGGGAAAAGGAGGAGGAGGCAGAACCAGCAGCTCACTGGAAGCTCCGGGTCCAGGTCCTCCTGCAGCTCCGTTAGAGGAGATCAGGTTTCAAGTCTGGGTGGTTTCCTCGTCTCCAGTTAAACACGACTCATTCCAGCAGCTCAGCGCTTCTCGTTCAGCAGTGATCTGAAGCAACCTACAGCCCTCTGGTCTCAAAACGCATGACCAACACCAAGCTAGCAGCTGCTGACCTTTAACCTCTGCCTGTAGACCTCATCAGTGGTTAATCCTGACCGGTTGGACCTGTGCCCCACTAAAGCTTCCATTTGGAGTCCCATGACCTTCTTCTCCTTTAAAGATGGAAACCGGAACACGTGATTTATACTATCCACCGTTTTAAGATGTTCTGAAAGTTTAAAAGTACTTCATCTCTGATAAATGCAGCTCTCTGTAGCCACCCGTGCCTGAAAGGCACTTTAGAATAAAGGTTACAAAAACTACAGAGCTTCTCAGTGAGTCTTCATCATCATCATCATCAAGTTTTATTACACATCAGAAAAGGCTTTTTACACATTTACAATACTTCTAGAAAACCTCTGATACGGACAGTAAATCGGGCCTGTCCTCCACTCCAGAGGGACGTCTGGGCACTCGTGTCTGCGGCCGTCTTCCACACCGGCTGCCGAACATAAAGTTATGAAAACACAGAGTGAGCAGACACTTTTCTTTTGGCTCCGGCCCCGATCTTCCCAAGGCTCGTCGTTCCGTCTCTTCTGAGTGGATCTTTAGATGCTTTCTGGAATTAACCTGGTTGCTGAACTCCACTGATAAAATGTTTACAACATTCAGAACCGAGGAGGGCTCATCTTGTTGTAGAAGACGTGTGGATCTTTGGATTTATGATCTTTGGGTTTCTGCTGATATATCGGATATTTACAGAGCTGTGGGAGGGGGGCTAATGGAAAATCTCCCAGAAGGTTACTGCAGGCAATGGGCGCTAGCTTCTCTCCAGCTAGCGGACCTCATCCATCCAGCTGCTCCATATGTAGCTGTGAGGTCCACCATGAAGATGAGGTAGATGGTGGCTGAAGGTTGGTTGTGATCCAGGACATCTGGAACCTCTGCAGGCATCAGCGTGGGCGGACAGACGGTTCTGCTCACTCCACCCGCTCTCCCCCCACCACCCTGTACCTCTGCCGGCAGGACGACAGCAGCGCCAGCGGCGACCAGAACACCACCGGAACCGTCGTCTGGACGTTCTTCTCCAGGAAGTCAAAGATCGGGTTCCACCAGGTCCTAGACAGGAAGTTGTTGGGAGCTCGGCGCAGACCCTGAACACAGAAGAAGATGGAGATCAGCTTCAGGACTGGTTCTGGACAGAAAAACGGGACTAGTGGAAGAACTGCAGCAGGATCAGGAACCTGAAGAAAGCTGAACGTTACAGATTCTAACATTCTTCGGACTCTACAGATGTTAGCGTGATGCGAATTAAATCTACACACAGTTCTGCATCTAGAACAACACAGAAGTTGGTTTGAATTGCAGCTGCAGGAAGCAGAAAACATCGATCCACATTGACAATAAAAACTTAGAAGCTCCAAAACTAAACAATCCAGAAATATCAGAAAGCATAAAACCCTAAATGATCTGTTTAAATATAGCGGCAGGCAGATCAGAGGTTCGTTCACACATCCGCCTGACTGCTGCTCCTGCTTCACTTCTCCCTCCTCTGACCACCAGAGGGCGGCAGAGCCTCCACTTACATGAGAGTTAGCCAGAGTGTGGTACCACCAGAAGATCCTGGTGGTGACGAAGTAGGCAATCACCACGTCGATGCTGTAGTGCTCGTGACCTACGAGGATGCAGATGACTCCAGAGGCGCTGAGGGCCCAACAGAACCAGTGGTACCACCACATCCAGCTAGGTGAGTCTGGACACACAGAACAGGGTTCTTTTACTCTCCGGGCTCCGAGCGGCCGCTAACAGGAGCACCAGGGACTCGTTAGTAATGGAGACAGATGTTTGAGCTCATTAAACCTGCTGAGTCATGACTGGTTATCGCCTCACTTTTATAGAAATTAGTCCACTAAAAGCATTTTTACCCTAAAAATGAGAAGTCTCTGCAGCTCTGATGTTTTAGTTTAAACGGCTGTAAATGTTCCTCTATTTAAAGGTTTAGAACTACTTTGTTTTAATAAAACCGCAGATTAAATAATCATTTATCTAACTTTGTCAAAGAAAACCAACAATATCTCTTTAATTGAAGATTTCAGATGAAGATATTAGAATAAGTCCTGCTGACAGAACTCAGCTTCATCAGGATCAGAACCTCGGAGTGAACCAATTAAAACATTAATGTTCACACTTCATTCATCAACAAAAACTCCCCTTTTGTCCACATGGGGGAGCTGTTTGTTCTGCAGGAATTTATTACAGAGAGACGCTCTTCTGGATCTGATTGCAAGTGTGTGTGTGTGTGTGTGTGTGTGTGTGTGTGTGTGTATATGTGTGTGTGTGTGAGCATTCCTCACACTCTTTGATGAACAGGTAGGACAGCGTCAGCATGACCGTGTGACCGCTGTACAGGAAGTCTCCACACATCAGGTGTGACCCCGTTAGCGACAGACCTGAAACACCAAACACACACCTGCTGCTACTCATTCATGCAACACAGCTGGATGCTTTTCACAATAAAAGCCAATCAGTAAATGAAAAAATAAACAGAGGTATTATTGTGAAAGGAGAACTTTTATCAGCCAATCAGTGAGCAGGATCTCAGTGATGTTAAACAGCTGGTGGGCGTTACCTCCTCCTGAGATCAGCTGGAGGATCCTCCAAATCTTCCCTGTTGAGTCATTGTAGAGCTACACGCACACGCGCACACACACACACACACACACACACACACACACACACACACACACACACACACACACACACACACACACACACACACACACACACACACACACACACACACACACACACACACACACACACACACAGTTTATGCATGTCATGAGCTGTTAGGTGCTTAATTTAAAGAAGAGAGAGTGTGTGTGCATGCAGGTTTAGTACCTTGGGAGCACAGACCATGTGTTTCCCAGGCACGGGCAGCGTGGTTATGTACATGGTGACGCAGCGGTACATGTATAGCGTTCCGATCAGGAAGAAACAGCGACGGCCCACGATGGCCCTGGAGAGACCAGGACCGGGTCAGAAACACCACCAACATTATTTATATTTATACGTATTTAATGGTTTTAAACAGATGAGCTGGTTCTGGTTTTCAGGGTCGATACCGAGCCATTAGCATGAAGGCTAGCATGAAGGCTAGCGTGAATGTTAGCGTGAATGTTAGCAATACTCTAGCATGAATCGGGCATGAATGTTAACAAGAATGTTAGCATGAATGCTAGAATAAATTTTAGCATGAATGCTAGCATTAACGTTAGTGTGAATGCTAGCATCAATGTTAGCATGAATGTTAGCAATACTCTAGCATGAATCAGGTAAAAAATTTAACAAGAATGTTAGCATGAATGCTAGAATCAATGTTAGCATGAATGCTATCATCAATGTTAGCAATACTTTAGCATGAATCAGGCATGAATGTTAACAGAATTGTTAGCATGAAGGATAGCATGAATGCTAGCATGAATGTTAGCAATACTCTAGCATGAATCAAGCATGAATGTTAACAGAAATGTTAGCATGAACGTTAGAAGAAGAAGAAAATATCATTTCTATAGCGCCTCTCAAGATAAAAATCACGAGGCGCTTCACAAAAACAAAAAAATGTAAAAATATTAAAAAGAATTTAGAAAATGTTTAAAAATATATTTAAAATGAGCAAAAAATAGACAATTTGTGATTAAAAATGTTAAGAGAGAGAGAGTGAACAGGAAAGAGGGAAATCAGTGGATCCTGAGGAAGATGGAATAGGTGGGGAGAGCAGAATAAAGAGAGAGAGGTGAAGAAGGTCATACAAAAGCCAGCTTGAACAAGTGAGTCTTCAGCTGCTTTTTAAAGGAGACCACTGAGTCCACTGATCTCAGGCTCAGGGGGAGAGAGGTCCAGAGTCTGGGGGCCACAGCAGCAAATGATCTGTCACCTCTGGTCTTTAGCCTGGTGCTGCACAACCAGTAGGCTTTGATCACTGGACCTCAGGGACCTGCTGGGGGTGTAGGGACTGAGAAGATCACCAATGTAAGACGGTGCTTGTCCATGTAAGGCCCTATAGACCAGAACCAGGATCTTGAAATGAACCCTGAAGTTGACTGGCAGCCAGTGAAGCTGGAGGAGAAGCGGGGTGATGTGGGTGTGTTTGGAGGACTTGGTCAGAAGCCGAGCACAGGCGTTCTGAACCACCTGTAGACGGTTCAGGGAGGTTCTGCTCAGACACGTGAAAAGAGGGTTACAGTAGTCTAAGCGTGAGGAGATGAAGGTGTGGAGAACCTAAAGGAGCGCTTTATATATAAAATGATAAAGGAGCGCTTCTTCCACAAGCGCTCCTAGCGTAAACACTAGCTGATGCTGGTAGTGATGGTGCGTTCATGAACAAAATATAAATCAAAATTTTGAGTTTCAGATGGACTAATTCCTGATTACCGGTTAATCTCCTGGGTTCCTTCAGCTCTGCAACAGGACAGATTTTACTGTTTAAATTAGTTTTATTACTGCTGTCAGCTATACTTGTGAGGACATTTACCCGTTTTATTTACAGTAAAAACTGTAAAATTTAGTTCTAGTATAAAAATGCTTTACATGTAAAACTAGAATATGTTTAGTAACATTTTAACATGTTTTCAGTTATTTCGCCTTTTCTGGTTAAGTTCATAACTCCTCATGTGTTCATTCATAGTTTTGATGCCTTCAGTGAGAATCCACCAATGTTAATGGTCATGAAGGTAAAGACAACACACCGAATGAGAAGGTGTGTCCACACGTTTGGCCTGGACTGTAGTTACTCCAGATATTACCACGGGGTCCGGAGCTACCGTTCTGTTATTTGGATTCTATCTTGAGTTTATTTACGTGCTCTACATTGTTGTGTTTTCATTTTATCGACTAAGTCATTTACCAAGTTTTATTATACAACCATGTTTGTGATGATGGAAACATGTAGTTACTGAAAGGGAAGGTCTCAGAGATTATTCACCAACATGAAAATAATACAGCTGCATTAAAGAATACTAATCAATATTTGTAGTTTAACCAACTATAAGTTAGTGAACCCAGTTTTTTTTTTTTTAAATAATCCTTAGTTACCTAAAATATGGTCGTACTAGTTTGGGGAGTTAGGGTTACAAAACACACAGAAACAAAGCTGCAGCACATTAAAATAGCAATAATAATGTTTGCTAACTTGGTACCACTTCATCACGAACCAGTTACCCAGGTACAGGCTCTAAAAGACAGCTGGGTCGTGACCGATATCAAGATAAACTCATAATAGTTGACTGAAGTTCTGATTTCGTTTTCTGACGTACCTGACACCAGTTAGAATGGGTAAGGGTTAGGGTGGTACCAGTGGGATAACTGGTCTTACTTGTGCTTGAGGAAGACCCACTGGACCAGCCAGAGTCCCACCAGGATCAGTCCATTGACCTCGGTGACCGTGAAGGCCCAGGGAACGCGGTCCACATAGTCGAAGAACTTGTCGGGCAGTGGCGGGTTCAGAGACTTGTCCGGAACTCGCTCGTGGACAACGGTGATGATGACGGTGGTGAAGACCAGGTTGATGGCAGCGTAGAGGAAGGCCACGCCCGTCTTCCACCACTCGTTAGGGAGAGGGTTGTCGTGTTCGTCCGACCCGTTGATCTTATCGTATTCGCTGCGGTTCTTCAGACACCTGAAGAACCTGGTGATAGGGTCCTCCCTGAGCCGACGGCAGGGCCCGCACCACTTACCCCGGCTGTGACCTTCACCCTCGTCTGTGGCCGGAGACGTAGAGGCACAGCGGGTAGGGTTACCGTTGGCAACCCTCTGTGAGGTAGTCTGTGTCTGGGAGTTTGATGAGCTCACAGAATCCACGGTGATCTGAACATCATTATCAGCGCGGATCAGCTCTGATGCCGCCATAGATCCAGTTTCTCAACCAGAGTCGCCGTAAAAGTCAGCCGATGATGACTAAACTCACAGCTGCTCTGTTTGTTTGATCTAGTCCAAACGAGTGGCTGATAACCCAGAACCAGGGTCTGACAAGTCCCAGTCAGTCCCGCAGGACCCCGGCGAAAGGTCCAGAGGAGACAAAAGGTCAATAATTCAATCAGAATCCGCTAACAAGGTTAAAGGTCGGCTCAGCTGATCAGGTCAGAGATCCAGCAGGAACCTGAAAACACAAATATAAGAATACGGCTAAGTAAAAACTACACTGGGTAGTAACAAAGACTGGCTAGTAACATAAATACTAGTTAGTAACAAAGACTGGCTAGTAACATAAATACTAGTTAGTAACAAAGACTGGTTAGTAACATAAATACTAGTTAATAACAAAGACTGGTTAGTAACATAAATACTAGTTAGTAACAAAGACTGTTAGTAACATAAATACTAGTTAGTAACAATGACTGGTTAGTAACATAAATACTAGTTAGTAACAAAGACTGGTTAGTAACATAAATACTAGTTAGTAACAAAGACTGGCTAGTAACATAAATACTAGTTAGTAACAAAGACTGGTTAGTAACATAAATACTAGTTAATAACAAAGACTGGTTAGTAACATAAATACTAGTTAGTAACAAAGACTGTTAGTAACATAAATACTAGTTAGTAACAATGACTGGTTAGTAACATAAATACTAGTTAGTAACAAAGACTGGTTAGTAACATAAATACTAGTTAGTAACAATGACTGGTTAGTAACATAAATACTAGTTAGTAACAAAGACTGGTTAGTAACATAAATACTAGTTAGTAACAAAGACTGTTAGTAACATAAATACTAGTTAGTAACAAAGACTGGTTAGTAACATAAATACTAGTTTGTAACAAAGACTGGTTAGTAACATAAATACTAGTTAGTAACAATGACTGGTTAGTAACATAAATACTAGTTAGTAACAAAGACTGGTTAGTAACATAAATACTAGTTAGTAACAAAGACTGGTTAGTAACATAAATACTAGTTAGTAACAAAGACTGGTTAGTAACATAAATACTAGTTAGTAACAATGACTGGTTAGTAACATAAATACTAGTTAGTAACAAAGACTGGTTAGTAACATAAATACTAGTTAGTAACAAAGACTGGTTAGTAACATAAATACTAGTTAGTAACAAAGACTGGTTAGTAACATAAATACTAGTTAGTAACAAAGACTGTTAGTAACATAAATACTAGTTAGTAACAAAGACTGGTTAGTAACATAAATACTAGTTAGTAACAAAGACTGGTTAGTAGCATAAATACTAGTTAGTAACATAAATACTAGTTAGTAACATAAATACTAGTTAGTAACAAAGACTGGTTAGTAACATAAATACTAGTTAGTAACATAAATACTAGTTAGTAACAAAGACTGGTTAGTAACATAAATACTAGTTAGTAACATAAATACTAGTTAGTAACATAAATACTAGTTAGTATCAAAGACTGGTTAGTGACATAAATACTAGTTAGTAACAAAGACTGGTTAGTAACATAAATACTAGTTAGTAACAAAGACTGGTTAGTAACATAAATACTAGTTAGTAACATAAACACAAACTACTTAAACCCTAAAGTACATGAAATGAGCCACAGTTTACATTTATGGAATTGTAACTTTACTTTGTTGTGTGAAGTTTCATCCATCAGGTTACTCTATTATAATTATATCACACACACACACACACACACACACACACACACACGCACGCACGCACACACACACACACACACACACACACACACACACACACCCTCCAAGCCTAGGCTCCTCCACCCGTCGTCAACATCAGGGGGAGGTTCTTCAGCACTGTCTGTCTCACCTGGGATCACCTGGGCTCAGGCGCTGTTTACTAAAGGCTGAACAAGTCCAGCTCTGACCTGCTTGATCTTCAGTTGTTTTCTCAGCTCAAGAATGAAGAACCTGGTCCTGGTCCTGGTTCTGATGGACTAATTTCTGTTTCTTGTTTGTTCTTCACTTTAAACTTTTCTCAGATTTAAAAATAACTTCCTTGAAACAACCCATCTGGGTTCCACGTAGAACCCGTCTGGGTCCCATGTAGAACCCGTCAGGAGTCCAAAGGGAGCCAGTTGCAAGTGGGAGGAGTTGGAGACCAAAAGAGAATAAAATCTGGTAAATAGAACCAGAAACCACAGAAAGATCTGCAGACATGTCCCCCGTCTCCCCATGTCCAAAACGTCCAGCTGAACTTCCTGTGACCCAAATATGAATCTGGTTTGTTACCAAACATGTCCACACATCTTCTGACCCTCATGAGTCTCCAACAGACATCATCCAGCAGGGTACTGGCTCCAGTTATGCACTCTGTCCGGCTCATCCCTTGAGTTAGACTGAATTCTGATCATGTTTCTATACATCAGACAGTTACTTATGAGTCACGATTCTGTCCAATCAGAGAGCTCTGTATCTACCCCCTTTACCAGCCCTGGTTTGTTGTTGACACCTTTTCCACACAAACGTCCTTCCTCAGGATGATTTATGTCCCAGGAGGTTACAACATTTAACCCTTAAACATTTAGCTAACATCTTTAAACATTAACATCAGCTCCATTAATTAAATGATAGCTTTAGCTTTTCTCCACCTGCAGCTAATCCCAGGACTATGAATAATCCGTCCCACCATGGTTAAACTGCTGTAGGATCAGGTCTCTGTCTCCTGTCAAATGTCTCTGCTGTCTCCTACTTCTGCAGAGTCCATGTGTGATGTTGACGTGTGAGGCTGTTATGTGAGTGAGAACCTAGAACCCGCTGCTGCAGGACGAGGAAACACACCAATAAAGTCACGATAAAAACTTCACAAAACCACGAAACTCACCGACGCGTTGGCCTTTCACCACAGAGGGATGACGTCTTAACCTCCATACATCCCGACCTGCAGTAAACCCCACAGAAGTGTCTACAGCTGACGCCCCTTTTGGCTGAAACAGCTGGTAATCATCAGCAAACAGTCGGTGTTGCTGATGTAGAGCAGGATTAACGAGATTAAACAAAAACAGATTCAGCTTCATTATTTCTCTGTAACAGAAGAGTTCTTAACCAGCGTTCAGACTCAGGAATAAATAAAGATGCTAAAGTAAAACATCCAACAGACGTTTCATCTTACGGTTTTGTTTAAAACAAAGTTTTAATCTAATGAAATGTCAGCTTTTCCTAGGATGGAGGGATTTCTTTCTTCTCGCAGACAGAGTGAACGTTAACTTCCGGGTGTTTTTGCATTTGACAGCTGACCGTATCGCTTTAACCAGACTCGGCTTCTCTCAGGTTTCTGTGTGCGTCCATCTCAGCGTCTCTAAGCGGTTGCTGTTTGCTGCTGCTTCCTGTTTACACAGTGACAGAAACTCAGCTTTATTAAGTTACAAACTCGAGAATTCAATTTGCCTCAATTATGGCTGATTCATCAACTCAAGACAGAGGAGAGTCCCATCCCAGAGCCCTCAGACACTCCTGCAGCCTAAGTTTGGTAATATGTGGCGGTTTAATGTGGAAAATAAATAATAACAACAGCTGTTACAAGTCCTAATTATTACTGTTCTCTACTTAAGCAGAAAATAAAACTAATCCACAATTCCAGCTGGTTTTGTGTGACATAAACATAAAAATATACCTTTAAATGAACATCTGATGCCTGAAATATTAACTAAAGTGATGAATGTCACCCAAGCCTAAAAAAAAAGTTTTCAGTAAGAAGTTTTAAAACTGAGCTACAATAACCGGACAAATATTTATTTGGTCATTTTCAGACTAAATAACAACAAAATCGACCTAAACTGTAAAATAAACAATCAAGTTGTTTCTACTAAATAACTGAGAAACATATTTAGGTGCAGAGAAAAGCAGGGTTAAATTTAACAGAAAAACTTTTCTTTTTTTTATAAACCACCCCTTCAGGACCCAAAAACGAGCCTCAGAGCTGCAACAGCTGTCAACAGATCGATTAATCGATAGTTTCAGCGTCGTTGACGCACTTTAAATCAAACTTTCAGACGTATTAGATACAAAGTAGCTACAGCTTCTGGAGTTCACGTCCTTCATTTTGAGTCTTACGACATCCAGGTACACTCACCTGTCTGTAGACCGGAAGGAGCCATCTACGTCTTTGCCCCAAAAACCGGTAAAACGGTTCTGGAAACTGGTTCCCCTCCAGGACTTGAATGAAAGCTAATCTTCCCAGCTCGTTTCCACACAAACTGGGATTTTCATTCTCTTTCTGCTAAACTTTTTCCTCTTCTTCTGCTCTGTTGAGTGCGAGAAACCAACCACGCAAAGCCCCGCCCCTTCCTCGTGCCTTTCCTTCAGGCCTGGTGTTGTTCAGATTCCAAATATGGCGCGTCTGATCCCGCCCACATCCGGTCTCTTCACCGCTGACTCACCGCTGGCCACCATGACTCGCCTGAGCTCGGATCCACTCGGGAATTCCCGTCAGTTCCGATAAACGGGTCTGTTTCAAATAAAACGATCTTTTAAAATTTAATCATGCTTAAAAAATAAACGTTTTGACTGGAAAAAACTGTAATATTTTATAACTTCTGACTGAAAATGTTCTGCTTTACGAGGTTTTGAGGTTCCAGGAAGTGAGTGATCAGAATGTTACGACTGGTCAACGATAACTAAACAAACGTACTTGAAAAAAGTTGAACTAAAATATTTCCATGCTTTCGTTCTTTTTTAAACACAGAAACAGTTTTGTTTACCTGTTTTGTAGCTACAGTTTCGCCGACGGCTGCCGGCTTCTTCAGGGCAGCCGTCGGCGAAACTGTAGATACAAAACAGGTAAACAAAACTGTTTCTGTGTTTAAAAAAGAACGAAAGCATGGAATTAGAACCACGACACAGTAAGAACACACCTAAGTTGAACTAAAATAGTTGAAGCTGAGTGACTGGAGGGTTAGGTCATTGGTGTAATTCAGAGCTACTCTTTCTAGAACACATTTCAGCAAAGTTGGAAGGCGTTCCACTAAATGCCCAGGAGAAGCTGCTGACATAAGGAAGCCATCTGTACAGCTAGACATGAGTTTTATTCATCATCAGGACAATGGACCAATGGTTAGTTTAGCCAAATGGTCATGGAAGCGTTTATCCAGCAGCAATAGAAGAAGCTGGATGGCATGGCATGAAGCGCATGTCAGGTGTGTAGTAGACAAGTGTGTAAATAACTGCAGACGTGGGACGGTGAGCATTGCATCAATGACCACGACTTCCTGAGTGGGGATGGCGGTCGCTGCTCTGCTGCTTGAACCGATATAAAACCTGAACGTTAATAAAACAAGTGATTAGATTACTGGCATATCGTGTCCACGCATACCCACCAGCACTGCTGTCAGTTACAATAACTTTATAAAATGATCCATGTTTCCACAACCATACTGGAAAATACAGAAAAGGCCCTTCTGCTGGCTCGGTCCTGTCAGGTTTCACACAAGCTGGGCTCTTAACCCTCTCAGGCTCAAAGTATGTTTTGATAAAAGGACGAACAACTAAGTCCTTCAGGGGAACTTCTGAGTAAAAACATGCTCATGAAATACGTGTGTGGAGTAACCAGGTAGGTTTTAACGTTGCTAATCTGCAACGCCTGCCTCCAGAGGGTTAAGGATTCAGAATGTCAGCATATCGCTATTGCTTCAGCAGTGAGTGACATCACAGATCAGTGATGTCACAGATCAGTGATGTCACAGATCAGTGATGTCACTGATCAGTGCCAAAAGATGTCCACGGTCATGATAACAACAGTTAGAGCTTTTATTGTGTGAAAGTACACTTTTACATCATTCAGGGGCGTGTTGTAGTCTCAGACGGTGGACCGGTGTCTGATCTAAAGTCTAAACCGTCCTGTTGGATCAGAACTTCCAGGATGGTCGGAACGGGCTCACCAGCCACTGAGCTGCAGTCAGACTCCAGCAGGAACACGAGTCCAGAAGCACCAGAACTCTACATGAAACTGGACCTGTTGGTGGTTCTGGTTCTGACCCGACCCAAATATAACAGTCCTCTCTTGTTCTAACTGTGGGAACGTCAGGATCTGGATCTCCTTCACTTTTCATTAATCCAAGCTGCTGTTCTTTAGGAATGAAGTCTCAGGAGTCCTTTTTCATCCATCATCCATCAGATCCTTCACTCAGAGTTTCTCTCTGGTCCACAATCAGATGGATCAATAATCAAAGATCCATCAGCCATCAGAGGAGTTCTGGTCCTGATGTCCTCTGGTGGATCAGGAACCTGGACTCTCCCTGCAGATTGGGAGGCAGAGCTCTGAAATGTCTGATTAACTGTTTTAGTGTTCAGCATCCATCTTTTGCTCCAGACCCAACATCAGTACCTTCTACTGTCTCTCTCTGTGGGACGTTTCCGAGTCAGACTGAAGTCTCTAGTTGTCATCGGGTCTTTATCCACCGTGGTTCTGGTTTTGTAGAGCTGGTGCTGTTTGTCAGGTTCATCAGAACCATTCTTATATAGATGGGCGGTCCTGTCCAGGTTGTCCACCCACTCTTCTGTATTCTCTTGTTTGGCATCAGCTGTTGTTCTGAAGGGCAACACGACAGACCCCACCTCTTGCTTCTTCACCTGTTTGACCGAGTGAACAAAGATCATCATCATCCACACACACACACACACACACACACACACGGGACTGTTTCAGCTGTTATTTTCGTTAAGGAGTGTGCACGTACAGCATGCGCGCCTCGTGCACGAGCCTACTATTGAAGCTGCCGTTACGCTTTTGGCCTGAGGGGGCAATCGCGAGCATAAAATTTCAAAACTCCGTAAAGTCCCTTTAAGTGTGTTTTTTAAAAATACCTTCCAAAGATCTCACACATCTGTTGTATGAACTTTTTAAAATTATTTTAATTCTCATTGTTTAACTGATTTTTAGTGATTGATTCTTTTTCTATAAGTTTTGATCCAAGCTCTGGACAAGAGTCACACAGGGGCGTGTCCAGAGAGTGGTCTGGGGTAGCACATGCCACCCTTAGAATCTGATTGGCCACCCCAGGTGCCACTCCACTAAGTTCCAGTTTAAATTGACTTTACATTGTCGACAAAAGGCTTGGGTTGTAAACTCCAAAACAGTGTGTGGTTGCATGCACCTTTCACCTTGTTTTCTAGCCCAGGCATGTAGTATTAATATTATTTAATTTTATTTTCATATTCACATACATAGTATTTAGAGTCCCACTCAACTCCAGTTGGTGGCAGTAATGCAACTAGAAGTGACTTGCTAACCACCACAAAAGTAGAAGAACAACAGGAAAAAAATGGTGATTTTGCAATGTGAAACTCAAAAATTCACTAGAAAGTAAATAAATAAATAAACGATTTGTGTAAATAAATAAATAAGCATAACCACTGGTGCCACCCATGAATAAACAAGTGTCTCACATGGGCCACCCCATTTTAAAAGTCCTGGACACGACTCTGGAGTCACATATGTACCCACAGCAAACCCACTATGATTAAAAACACTAAAACATGTGTCCTGTATCAGAGCTACATGTGTGATGTTTGCAGGAAAAAAATCGCATCCAAATCGGTTCTGAATTCATGGAGTTATGGTTGATTTAACATGCTGACGCTTCAATGCTTCTGTTGGGGGGGGGGGCTCAACCGATCCAAGATGGCCGCGCCACCGCTCGTCAGCGCCCATAGAGCTCCGGACCCCACGTGACTCTCAGTTAGTAGACGCCATATTGGCAGGAAAAAAAGGTAAACAAACACGGATTGTAAACATGAACGTGAACGGGATCGGCTTGGATTTTACTTCGTCGGAGTTTACTTCACACTTTAAAACTGAAGAAATCGTTTTATATAGTCAGAAATTAAATAGACTAAACATCTCCGACCCTTACCGTGCTCCTGGGATACTTTTTAAAAATACCAGAAGCTGTTGGAGCGGACTTCTTACCGGACCTGGCCGGGGAACCCCTTGGGATTTACCCGGAGGAGCTGGTTCCGGCGGCTGGGGAGAGGGAAGTCAGGGCCTTTCGACGCTACTGCCCCTCAACCCGACTCTGGATAAGCGGATGAAAATGGATGGATGGATGGATGGACAAATAACATAGATTTACATGTAAGTAGTTTAAATAGAGTGCTGTGCTGTTTGAATGTATAAACTGAACGCCAAGAGAAATCACTAGTCTGATTGTTTTCCGTGAATAAAATAAATATGTCAGGCAGGAGCGTCTCAGGATCTGTCTGAGAGCTGTCTCGGTGAGACAGATAACAGCAATCCAAAGTGCTTTTTATGTGTGATCTGACAATTGATCAACCATTGCTTAAAAATTAAATACAGCTTAGCCGGTTAATTGCTGTGATCATAAGACACGTAAACGGCAGCACGCAGAAATCACGAGGCAACGTTTTACGTGATGTTTACTTGTTGCTATGAGTAATAAGACAGAAAAAGCCACGCCAAAACAAGTTTAGGAAGCCCACTAAGAATTATAATAAAAGCATTTAAAATAAATACCATACACAGTTGAGGAAACATTGGTTTAAGTACCTGATATGAAGCGGTCGCTGCATAAGCAAAAACCTTTACTCTCGGGATCCCACAGCTTCATTTTAGCCCGGTCACTAGCGCGTTTTATTACAATGATCCAACGTTTGCGGCGCTCCGGATCTTGTGGAATCCTGTAGATGGCTCATTCCTTATGTCGTCCGCGTCTGTTCTGCATCCTGGGGCACAACAGGAATCTACCATATTTCCCGTTTGATTGAGTTTTCTGACAATAACAAATAGTCCAGCTACGGGCTTCTGCCTGCCAAGATGGCGCCATTTCGATTTGAACTGTTGCATGCCGGGAGATGTGACGTCAACTCCCGGAGCTCCCAGTAGCGGTCACACGAGGTCTAATCCAAAACCCTGATCCGCTCCGCCCAGGCGCCAGAAAAACTCCCGCGCTCCAAGCACGCTCACGCATTGAGGGGGGACACAAAATAACGGTACACCGGAAGCTGCTAGCAGAGAAAACCACCATCGAGGGTGGCGGAACTGTTGGGGGAGGATCGACAGACAAGTGGAGCGAAATTTGAAAGATTACCGTTTGTTTCTGGATTTTGACGACGGATTTCGGATCACGGACTTTGGTGGTTGGCATAAGCTGGAGTGTGAATGGCTGGAATGGCGTCTCAGGAGGAGGATGAGGACGAAATGGATTTTGGTGAATGGACCCAGGTTTCTAATGGAGGAAGAGCAGATAGAGGGAGGAGCAGGAGAGATGGGGAGAGTGTGTTTGGCTCACAGACCAGTAAACGGGGTTTGGAGGAGGTCAGTTCTGATGAAGGTACAAATGTTGTCTGGAAAAAGATAGTTAGAGAAGGTTTCAAAATAATCGCGAGGTTCAGAAAGGAAGATAAGAAGGTTCAGTTGAGCCCAATTGCTTTGTCAAGAGAATTGAAAAAGAAGTTTGAGGAGGTTCAACTGGCCAAAATTCTAAGGGATGGGAACCTGCTGATAGAAGTGAAGACGGACGAACAGAAAAGGAAAGTACTAAACGTTGAAAGTATTTGTAAGAAGATAGTGAGTGAAAAGAGGGTGCTCGGAGAAAATAAAGTGACACGGGGGGTGATTACTGGAATACCGGTGGAGGAAGATCTGGATAAACTTAAGCTGAGTATTCGGGGTGGTGAAGTGAGCCGGGTGAAAAGACTGTTAAAAACAATAGCTGGAGGGAAGGTTGAAAGTTTGTCCATACTTTTGGAGTTTCAGGAGGATGTCCTTCCGGAGAGAGTTAGAATAGGGTGCATGAGCTTCCCTGTTAGAGCTTATGTCCCTCCACCCCTCAGATGTTATAAATGCCAGAGGTATGGACATATTGCAGCAGTTTGCAAAGGGAAACAGAGGTGCCCTAAGTGTGGAGGTGATCACAGATATGAGGAATGTGGAGGGAATGTACAAGACAAATGCTGCAACTGTGGGGGGCAGCACAGGGTGAGTTATGGGGGCTGTGAGGTCAGAAGGATGGCAGTGCAGGTTGAACAAATAAAGGTGGTTCATAACATCAGCTACGCAGAGGCTCTGAAAAGGGAGAATGGAAAGGATGAGGCTAGAAAAGTTCATACAGAGTCGCCATCAGGTTTTGTGCAAATACAGGAAACTCACGCAGGATTGACAGTGGAGAAGATGATTTTGTTTATGGCGTATGTCATAAACTGTACGGATCAAGTGAAACACAAAACAGAGAAAATAAAAATAATTGTGAAAGGAGCAGAGAGATTTTTTGGCATTAAAGACATTTCATGGGAACATGTCATTAAAAGACTTGGGGAGGAAGGGAAAGCGGGAGGTCCTAGTGACAGGACAGCATGATTATATTACAATGGAATGCCAGAAGTTTGATTGCAAATGGACAGGAATTTCAGGGATTTATCGATAAATACAAATTAAAACCTGACATAGTATGTGTTCAGGAGACATGGCTAAAACCTAATTTAGATTTTGTTATGATGGTATCCGTAGGGACAGAAAGGAAGGTAATGGAGGAGGATGTATGACGTTTGTGAAACGAGGAACTCGGTATAGGACTGCAAATACAGGATCACAGTTGGAATACATAGTCATTGAAATCTGGTCGAGAAATTGTAATTTTAAAGTAATCAATTTTTATAATCCAGGCAACAGGGTGTTGAATATGGATGAACTAGATACACAGTTAGAGGGAAAAGTAATTTGGTGTGGGGACTTCAATGCACACAGTTCCTTATGGGGCAATAGCGATGATAGGAATGGGGAAGTTATTGAGGAACTGATGGAAACAAAAAATTATGTATGTTTGAATGATGGAAGTGGTACAAGATTAAATATTAGAGCTGGTACAGAATCAGCAATTTTAGTGTCGGATTCATTAGCGGGTTTTTGTTTGTGGCGGGCGATTAAAGACGCAACTATTGGTAGTGACCATTATCCCATAATGACTGAACTTGAGGTGAATGTAGAACAATGTGATACAGGGAATGTATAAAATTGGTGTTTTGGTAAGGCAGATTGGGAAAAATTTAAAGTTATTTGTGACCAGGAAATGGAAAAAATAGATATGAATGATGCTGTTGATGCATTGAATTTTTCTGTTTGTACTGCAGTTTTGAAGGCAGCAAACCAGGCGATAAGGAAGAAGGAAGGTATGAGAATAAAGAAGTAGTACCCTGGTGGACAAAGGATTGTGATGAAATTATTAAGGGTCGAAATAAGGCTTTTAAAATTTTAAAGAGGAATCACAGTTTAGTTAATTATATGGGATATAAACGATTACAGGCTGAGGTAAGAAGAACTGTTAAAAATGCAAAGAAGGAGTATTGGAGGGGCTTTTGTAATTCAGTGGAGAGGGGGACAAAATTACAAAATGTTTGGTCGATGGTTAGAAGAATGAATGGCATAAGAAAAGAGTATGGTTATCCGATATTAAAAGATGGTGACGTACTAGCAGTAACAGACGAAGAGAAGGCTAATGCCAATGCCCTTATGTTAGTGTAGAAGGTCAGAGAGGCAGAGAACGTACATTTCTGGAAAATGTAGAGTTGTTGGAACAGAGCAAGGATGATGATAACTTGTTAAATATTTTATTTAAAAAAACAGAATTAGATTGAGTTTTGCAAAAATCCAAGGTATCAGCACCAGGAAAGGATCAGATCTGTTATATTATGATAAACCATTTTAGTGATACGGCTAAAGAAATTCTATTAGGACTATATAATAGAGTTTGGGTGGGTGGGATATTGCCACAAAGCTGGAAGGAAGCAGTGGTTGTACCCATAGGAAGACCAGGAAGAGATAATACCAATCCAGGAAACTATACACCTATAGCGTTAACGTCTAATATTTGTAAGGTAATGGAGTGCATGATAAATGAAAGATTAATGTACTACATTGAAAGTAAGGGTTACTTGTCTAACTATCAAAGTGGTTTTAGAAGAGGAAGGAATACAATGGATCCTGTTTTGTTTTTGGAACATGAAGTTAGGAGGGCACAAATAAACAAAGAGAGTGTAGTTGCTGTCTTTTTTGATATTGGAAAAGCTCATGATACATTGTGGAGAGAAGGCCTTTTAATTAAGATCAAACAAATGGGTGTTGATGGGCGTATGTTTCAGTGGATCAAGAACTTTTTAACGGGACGACAAATTCAAGTGAGAATTGGGAAGATTTTGTCTGAAAAGTTTCCTGTGGAAAATGGTACACCACAAGGTAGTATCGTGAGCCCATTATTGTTTTCTATAATGATAAATGATGTTTTCAATGGTATAAGAGATGGGATGGGGTTTTCACTTTTTGCAGATGATGGGGCAGTATGGTATAGAGGGAAAAACGTAGAGTTTATTGTAAAGAAACTTCAAGAAGCAATAGACGAGGTGGTGGAATGGTCATACAGATGGGGTTTTAAATTCTCGGTGGATAAAACTAAGACGATGTTCTTTACAAGGAAAAAAGTAAGAGAGGATCTTAAACTTGAATGATATAGTCAAGAGTTAGAAAGGGTACGTAAATTTATATTCTTGGGTGTATGGTTTGATGAAAGGTTGACTTGGGGTGTTCATATTCAGAGTATAATGGATAAGTGTAAGAAGGTTCTAAATATAATGAGGTGTTTAGTTGGGTGTGAATGGGGTGCGGACAGGAAGTCTATGAAGGCCATATATGTTGGATTGATCATATCAGTATTAGATTATGGGTGTGTAGTGTTGGTCTCTCTTCCGTTAGACCAAGCACGGGTACGGAGTAGATGGAGTTAAACACCTTTTAAGTTGACAGAACGAGGAGACAAATGATCAGAAGTCCATTCACTGTTTCACCGCTCATGAGGGGGAGAGTCTCTGCAGCAAGTCCCGCGACCTGCTCTTGCCAGATGCTTCGGACAGACTCTCGCCGTTCTGCTGAAAACGGCTGATTTTTATTGAAGATTACAGGAATGTTACATACGTAGTTTGCCATACACACACGTAATTCTGCCATCTGCACCTGCAGACGCACGTCAGCTAATAGCCTTGTTAATGAAAGACCAATTCATCCCAAGGACATGCAACCTTGAGATGATCAGGACACATCCTGCAACATCCTTTGCTAACAAAGACAGTTGTTCTTGTATTGAGGAACTGAAGGAAGGAACGCTTTCACTCCCTTATGCAGCTGTTCAGCTTGAGCAGAAAAGGCACAGAGAGGTTTTCGATATTATAACAAGATTCCATGAAAAGGCATATAATAATGTATTTATGATAATATATAAGGAGCATAAGTGAGAGATACATATTTGTTCATATAAAAGAGCTTATAATAATATATGAAAGAGCTTATATGAGAGATATATATTTTCAATCCCCCTTTTGAACTCTTTTAAGAGTTCAATAAAGATATAAGAAATCAAAACAATAACACCAAATTCCATCAAAAAGAATCCAATAAGCAAAGTTTTAAAATACAAATACAAACAATCAATCAGGTTACAGCTTCTCATATTTCCAGCAGTAAACTAATACAAAAAAAAAACATGATCATATTTTTAACTGAACATGTTACAACATGTATGGATCGCATGCAACTCCATATGAGGGCGAAAAACCCTAATTATCATATGTTTATAGGGAAAATTCCCCCATGTCCCCCCATTTGTCATATCTCAATTTTGGGGCGAACACCTGTTGGCATAGAGTGTGCATGCCTAGGACATCAATGATCAACAAAAAATAAAACAAAACAAACAAAAAAATCATAAAAATGAACTGGTGAAGGGATGGTTACATAAATCACTGAACATTCTCACACTCTAACAACATCTTCTTCATCATGAGAGTCATCACTATCATCAGAGAGTTCCCCTCCCAAATAGATGTTAGGATTGGCTAGTAACAAGGGCATCTGGATAATTGGGTCAGCAGGTGGAGGGTGTAAAATATTACCCTTGTTAAAATAAATGAGGGTGTTAAATACAACCCTTGTAGAATGTTCATAGGGTGGTTACTTCTTCCCCCTGTTGAGGACCCTTCACTGGCTCCAGGCAGCTGCAGGGGGTGATGATGTCAAGATTCTCGTCCTGCAGGATGTGGTGGCAGCTTGGCATGCTACTGCAGTCAGCTACTTCTCTTCCTGGTTTTTGGATCCTTTCTCTGGTTAGGCAGATGTCAGCTGCTTCTCTTCCAGGTTAGGCTCCTCCCGTCCAGCCGGACAGCGTGTGATGTCCTCTCCGTGATCCTGTATGGCTCGGTCCACCTCGGTTCCGTCCACTTCCTTTTGGTGACTTTTAGCAGGACCCAGACGCCTGGCACCGAAGACGAAGCCTCTTCGTGTGTGTAGTTTTGGTCCAATGAAGGCTTTCTCGACTTGTGCAGTCCAATTGAGCTTTGGCAGATAGTTGGTAGGAAGATTCACACTCCGGCCGGACCAGAAGTTCCCCGGACCGATCGCCTAGGGATTAGAGGTTATGCACAAAAATGTCCTAGCTCTTACTGACCCTAGCCTCTGATACCTTCAACATCAGACACATACAGTTACGAACAGCAAGCGCAATTAAAGGTACAGTGACATCACGACATGGACACACAGACACACAAACACATACACATGCACATACACAGAGAGAGAGGGAGAGAGTAAGAATGTGTGTGGGAGAAAGAAATGTGTGGGATCCATTTTGCCACCAGCATCTCCACCTGTGTCACAGAGAAAAAATTGCAAAGAAATTAAAACATAAAGCAAACAACAATAATTCAATGAGTATAAATGATCAAACTAAAATATACAACCATGCATGGGTTTTATAACAGTTCCGGCAACACTGGAGAGGAATCCTTGTATAATGAATTCTTAAGATGTCCTTCATCAATTAGAGGTTATAGCCAAATTGTTTCAGGATCCTGAATTTGAATTTGAATTGGTTAATTTACTCAGAATAGTCCAATGTCTTTGTTGATGTTTCTCAAGGCTCGGCCATGCCCATATAGATAAATAAACAAACAAACAAGACAAACACAGTCAAACACACGGTCCATACACGTCTCTGTGCCCTCACACACCAAGCAAATGTCAGACTGAAGCGAAAGTGTGAAATACTTAACCTAACGCTAAATCAGTGGAAAGAAAAAATAAGACCTAAAGCGTGTAATCAAATTAATCCAACAAAACTTCCCATAACTGCTGTTCTAAACTCACGTTGCGATGTGATCTCTCCAATTAGAAATTAGGACAATCACTTTACTATCAATTCAACCAAATAGTTTCAGGTTGTCCCTTACCTAAACTACCTGTCTTTCTTACCTTCTTTCTTTCTTTCTTTCTTTCTTTTTTAGGAACACTACTCGCACAAGAAATCCTAAGAATTAATTCACTACTTAAGGTTAATTCATAAATAACGAAACTGCAGTTACAGGTTTGTTTGTGCATAGTATTGGTAATCAGCAGTTTTTTTTCCTTATCTCCTCATCTAGAAGTGTTTCTGTGCTACTCCTCCATCTATAACACAAGTTAGTATCATCCTTAAAGCATCTGAAATTAAGCTGCATTGCTAAATCAATAACGTGATTTGTGCTAAGAAATACTCCCCTATCCTCTTCCTTTTTCCAGTGGCGCTGAATGACAGATTTTAGATCAATTTAACGTTTTATCACTATTACGTTTCATTTAATTAATTTTGCTTTTTCTCTCTTATTTTTGTCTATTTATTTATTTATGTTATTTACTTATTTATCATGCCATCCTGTGATGATAATCTTAAAGACTTTTTAGCCAATTGTCGTCAAAACGGCCATTTAAAAATATTATGTTAAAGATTTCACAAGATAAAAATGTGAACATAATTTTTATCGAATGAGGGGTACAATTATTCAATATTTTTGTGACATTATTTTCTACGTTAGAACTTACAGCTGATAGAAAAATATAGGATCAGCTAGGTTTGGCTAGATCTGTTGGGAAACTCAACGGAGCTGAAACAACACTGTTGTCTCGGATGAGATGTTCCATGAATCATTTAGTCAGCTGGATGCCAAATTATTCATTTAATGTTTATTTTTATGCAATGAATGGAATGGGATGGAACGTTACTATAAACTATCCGGAAATTTGCGCATGTTTGCTCGAAGGAGAGAACTGTTGAAGCCTAAAGCGTTCTCCTAGACTTATAAATAGACACCGTTTCCTTAACTAATGAAGATAAGTGATGACGCTGATGTATTCCGTTTTGAAAAGAAAATAAGGCTTTACTGCATGTCCGCTGCAGCTGAGAATCCTAGGACAATAAAGATTATATTGACGTCCAATGATGAGTTGGGCTGAAATCCAGGTTACTAATCCTATTATTTATTTATTTATTGATATTATTATTATCTTTTTTTAGGCTAACTTTCTCAGTTAACTATGTTCTACAGTAGTTTAGTAAATTTTCCACAGTTCTGACATTTCATCAATTCAACTGGTTGTTGCCGAAAAGCCTTGTTCATTACCTGACTGCAGCAAGCACTCTTTTACTGGGTGTAACCATGGGAAACAGTCTCTTTTGAGCCTCTCTTTGTAAGTCCAGGATGACCACCGTCATTGATTAAAGTTCACATGTTAGCACACATGCTCCCCCTTTTGTACTTTGTTTCATCAGCAGCAGGGCAAATAAGTTTCTGCCTCTTTGTCCATCTTGTAGTGCTCCCCGTCTTTATGTTATGAGTCACAGCTTTTGGTGAGGGCTTCCAGGTTCTCTTTGGTGAGGGCTTCCAGGTTCTCTTTGTATAGAAGTCAGAGCCAAACATTCTTTGCAGCTGGTTGTGACAGGCCCACCCAGTAAAGTTCATGCCTGCCACAATGCACAGCAAACGTTTTCCTTAAATATGTTGATTGAGTTAAAATGACAGAACTTTCTCTTTTACAAATCAAAATCAACGATGGTTTCTAATATTTAGTCGACTTTATTGACTCAAAGGTAAATCTAGACTACTTCCTATGCACAATTTTTCTGAATCGTCAAGTCGGTTCTACACAGGTTTTAAACTTTAGGCACAATCTATCCCAAATGCAAGATCCCTCCTTTCATTTTTTGTTTATCTATTTTATTTTGGGAAAATAACTACCAGTTTTTAACTCAAAACAGCCTAGTACAGTTTCTAGCCAGGTTACAGGAAATAATACTTAGTTTATCTGTTTTTTCATTATTCAGCATCTCAAAATCCAGCCATTAACGTTAATGGTTCTTAAAGTTGAGGTAAGACAATTATTGGATTTTGTTTTATAGCAAGATTTAACAAATATTTTATTTCCTGACTGATTATTTGTTAATTTTATGGTTTTCATAAAGATGATCCTGAGAGGTTCAGAGCTGCTTTTCGCAGCACCCTGTGCTATTTTTAGACTGCGGAACTCCTGTGTGTAAAAGTGGGTGGAGTCAGGTCCCCAGGCTGAAACTCCAGTCATTCTCACTAAATCTGTCCGAGAGGAAGGATCTCCTGAATACCCTAACCAGAAGCCTTAAGGTACGTCCAAAACACCGAAAAATATCCTTTCTAAAGTCACAAATTGCTTAAACTGCATGTTACACAGGAAAACTGTGAGAGCGAGGGAGTCCAGCTGACTCCACGGCCCATAATCAGACAAAATACTTCCTTTATAACCACGACCATACAACTTTTGTATTTTAAAGGATTTTCTTGTCCTCACACTAACGATAAATTCTTTTTCTATTGTTTCCACAGTCTCTCGAACTAAATAACCGTCTAGTAAAAACATGGACCGCACCCTGTTTCTCAAGCAGCTGCTCCCTCTATTAAAAACTGAATCATTCAGAAGATCCAGCGAAAGCAGCTCATGCAAGAAGACACACATTCACTCATTCACAAGGCACAGAGACATTCTTTGTTTGTCACAGTCTCTTTTTATTATTATTATTTTTTTAAGGTAAGTCAGTTCGTCACTTATTTATTCTCTCTCTCTATATATATAATATTTTAAGCACAGAATTTATTTAACACTGCACTGGTTATTTTCAGAATTTAATGCTTACTATGCTTTTAAGCAGGCCTTATGTAACATTAGAGCAAATCCAATTGCAATTTTTTTGAGAGCGCTCTGAGGAATAGTTTATATATTTATTTTCTGCAGATCTGTTTTGATTTTACTGTTTAGCAGCTATATGACTATATTTCTAAAATAAAGCTGTCATTTACATCCTTACTTGCGTTTCTTGGTGGTTTTTTCCCTTTTTTCATCTCCAGGTCACTTAACCCCCAAATCGGGGTCACTCACATGCTGCCCCACACACAAATGATTATCACGCTTCTACACTACATATGTATATATATGTATACACATATACATACATACACACATACATATGCATATGTTACTTTAAAAACCTTTTATTTATTAACTTATGGTGTTCTGTTCAAAGACTGATCAGAACAGGGTTGCAGAATTTGAATTTTGCGTAGCTCCAAACATTAATTTTTAGCACTGCAGTGTAATTTACATATACGAGTTGCAACTTTTTAAAGCTCTTATTTAGCTTATTTATTTATTTTCTGGTACCGCATCAGGCCTTCACACACACCATCCAGCGCTGTACACACACACACACACACGGAGCTCCCAAAACTCTGCTCTGCATTCTGCACTCTCCTAGTGCTGCACTTTCAATCCAGAGCCGTAAGCAGCCTCTTGCTGCGCCTCACACACACAGGCTGAACTCAGCTTACACACACAGTGAAGCTTGTCTACAGCTGTGCCTTTTTTCTCTTGATTCTGCAGCCTTCACTTCCCAAATCTTTCTCCAGTTACCTCTACTGTTAACATCTACCCCTTTTTTCTTCATCGCCTCTTCCGCTGACTTTCTCAATAAAACCTTATTTCTCGTGGCTTCAACTGGGCTGCTTGTCATATTTAAACATTGCTCATTTTATGCAAAAACAGCCAAAAGCACGCAGAAATAGCCAAAAGCACTGCTCTCTTCACACAGAAGCAGTCAAAACATTTATCATCTTATGCAAAAACAGTTACCTCAGAACATTTTTCTCATCTCATGCAAAAGGTCCTTGACCTTAAAAATCCAGGGAGCTCTCTTTTAGCCTCCCCTTCCCTTAACACAAAAAACCAGGTCCTTGACCTTAAAATCCAGGGAGCTCTCTTTTAGCCTCCCCTTCCCTTAACACAAAAAAAACCCAGGTCCTTGACCTTAAAATCCAGGGAGCTCTCTTTTAGCCTCCCCTTCCCTTAACACAAAAAACCAGGTCCTTGACCTGTGGACTTTTAGGGTTCCCACACCTATGGATCCAGCCAAGCTTTATATAACCTTGTTATATATTCTATCCGCTCGTCAGCAAATAGTGTGGTCAGCCACGACCTGGAAATGGAACTTTAGGGCTACTCTATTAGCCCTGGGTCACCATCCCTTCATCTGTACTATTTCCTTTTCTCATTTACTCATTAAACCATTAGAAAAATCCTCATTTCATTTCACCATTAAACCATTACAAAAAATCTCTTATTCTTTCTGCACTTGTCTCCACTTTCTTCTCCAACTATTATTTTAGGACCTCAGCTACTATGATTCTGGACACAAAGGCTTTGGATAAATCCAATGAGCAGATTTTAGATAATAGGCTCTGCTCACCTTGTTTTCCACCGCGGTGTTCTGTGCCAAGATCTGTTCGCTGGGTCGGTTGGTCAAATTGTCCTCCAAAAACTCCTTTTTCTTCAAAAAGAAAAAATCCTGTTCGTGACGCCAAATTTGTTGGTCTCTCTTCCGTTAGACCAAGCACGGGTACGGAGTAGATGGAGTTAAACACCTTTTAAGTTGACAGAACGAGGAGACAAATGATCAGAAGTCCATTCACTGTTTCACCGCTCATGAGGGGGAGAGTCTCTGCAGCAAGTCCCGCGACCTGCTCTTGCCAGATGCTTCGGACAGACTCTCGCCGTTCTGCTGAAAACGGCTGATTTTTATTGAAGATTACAGGAATGTTACATACGTAGTTTGCCATACACACACGTAATTCTGCCATCTGCACCTGCAGACGCACGTCAGCTAATAGCCTTGTTAATGAAAGACCAATTCATCCCAAGGACATGCAACCTTGAGATGATCAGGACACATCCTGCAACATCCTTTGCTAACAAAGACAGTTGTTCTTGTATTGAGGAACTGAAGGAAGGAACGCTTTCACTCCCTTATGCAGCTGTTCAGCTTGAGCAGAAAAGGCACAGAGAGGTTTTCGATATTATAACAAGATTCCATGAAAAGGCATATAATAATGTATTTATGATAATATATAAGGAGCATAAGTGAGAGATACATATTTGTTCATATAAAAGAGCTTATAATAATATATGAAAGAGCTTATATGAGAGATATATATTTTCAGTAGCATATACTTCAGCAGCAAAAACTACTCTTTTAAAATTAAATTCTATCCAGAATCAGGCACTGAGACTCTGTACAGGAGCATTTAGTACAACCCCAATAGCAGCTTTACAGGTTGAGATGGGTGAGATGCCAATAGAAATCAGAAGGGAACAAATGGCTTTAAATTATTGGGCAAATCTTCGGGGTCAGAAGGACGATCATCCAACAAAAGACATACTGAAACCTTGCTGGGAGAAAGAAAAGGATACGAAACGTTTTGGATGGATGATGATCAAAAAACCAGTAGAACTTAAATTAGATCTGTTTAAAATCAGTCGAAGAGTTCCATTACCTGCTATTCCGCCATGGATTCTTCCTGAGGCATCTGTTGATTTATCATTGTTAGAGAGAAAGAATACGGATGAGTCATTCATACTAAACTCACATACAGCACAGGATTATATCGATCACTATTATAACTTTGTAAATATATATACAGATGCATCTAAAGATACTGCGGATCGTATTGTTATAGCTTTTATTGTTCCTGAGTTTCATGTTACAGTTAAAAAAAGGGTGAGTGATGGATTGTCAGTATACACAGGAGAAATGCTCGCAATACTGTTAGCTGTTCAATGGGTGGAAGAACACAGACCATTATTCTCAGTTATTTGTTCAGACTCCAGCTCTTCATTGACCAGTTTACGGCGCAGCCATTCAGAAAGCAGACCTGACATACTCATAGAGATTCAGCAGACACTTTATAGAATACACATGATGGGACTTACAATACGTTTTTTATGGATTCCAGCTCATTATGGAATCAGAGGGAATGAAGAAGTCGATAAGGTACTGTAGCTAAGGAAGCCACAATAAGTACATCGGTTCAGTTGGATATACCATCTTGTCGAAAAGAGGTGAAGAGCATTATAAGGCAAGAGATGTTGAAAAAATGGCAAAAACAATGGGAGGAGGAAAGGAGGGGAAGGTGGCTGTATAAGATTCAAAGAAGGGTAGGTGACATGAGAAACACTGGACGGAGTAGGAGAGAGGAGGTGATCATTTCTGGACTGAGGTTTGGACATACTGGATTAAACAATACATTATTCATACTAGGGAAACATAACACAGGGAAATGCGATTATTGTGGAGAAGAAGAAACTATAGGTCATGTTATGTTACAATGTCAGAAATATCAGTCAGAAAGGAGGAAAATGATTCAAATTCTTAGTCGGATGAAAGTGACACGTGTACTCGACCTTATTGATTTATTGAGACGTAATTCCAAAAGTGACTGTTTTCAGGTTTTATTTCAGTTTTTGAAGGAGATACGGGTGTTTGGGAGAATTTGATGGATGTGTGTGTTTGTGTGTGTGTATATATATATGTGTGTGTGTGTGTTTTTGAGCGCTATTCCAGACCACACTCCACACTAGTTGATGGCGGTAATGCACCATTCGTTGTGTACCAACTGCCATTTCAACCCCAGAAGAAGGAGCTGCTAGCAGAGCTAGCTTGTTGTTGTCCTGGTGTCTCTCTGAGAAACGCGCTCGTTTTGCTGCTTTCATCAGACTGAAGAGGTTCCCTCTATCAGACTCGCTCATCTGAGTTGGTCATGATGCAGGATCGCTGCTCGCTCTCTCATCCATCCTGCTCACACTCTCCGACGGAAAAGCCCCGAATCTGAATGTGACTCTGGAGGAAAAAGCGGTTAGCTCTACTCCGTGAACTCTGGTGAGCAAAGGTCCTCTTTTCCAGACTGGATCTGTCCTCAGCTGATCAGAACCAAAGCGTTGGATCTTTAATCTCCTGCGTTGTTCTGAAGCAGCATCTTAATCAGCTCTCCTGCTTTGTTTCTATTGCAGCTGTTAGCTAAACACGGCTAAAGAGAACCTGCTACCACTTCAGGATCATCCATCAGCATGGACGCAGGTACTGGTGTGTGTGTGTGTGTGTGTGTGTGTGTGTGTGTGTGTGTGTGTGTGTGTGTGTGTGTGTGTGTGTGTGTGTGTGTGTGTGTGTGTGTGTGTGTGTGTGTGTGTGTGTGTGTGTGTGTGTGTGTGTATTTATATGTTAAGGTGGTCACATTTGGACTTTAACCTGTAGCATGTGGACATTCTTACATTGTGGGAACATTTTGCTGGCTCACACAATGCTAAGCACCCTAAAACTTAGTTTTAATTAAATTCACTTCAATTCAAGTTTATTTATAAAGCGCCAAATCACGACACGAGTCGTCTCAAGGACCTTCACACAGTAAACATTCTAATACAGGTCAGTTCATTAAGCCAATCAGTAAAAAGTTTCCTATAGAGCTCCGGGAGTTGACGTCACTTCTCCCGGCATGCAACAGTTCAAATCGAAATGGCGCCATATTGGCATGCAGAAGCCGGCAGCTGGACTATTTGTTATTGTCAGAAAACTCAATCAAACGGGAAATATGGTAGATTCCTGTTGTGCCCCAGGATGCAGAACAGACGCGGACGACATAAGGAATGAGCCATCTACAGGATTCCCCAAGATCTGGAGCGCCGCAAACGTTGGATCATTGTAATAAAACACGCTAGTGACCGGGCTAAAATGAAGCTGTGGGATCCCGAGAGTAAAGGTTTTCGCTTATACTGCGACCGCTTCATATCAGGTACTTAAACCAACGTTTCCTCAACTGTGTGTGGTATTTATTTTAAATGCTTTTATTACGATTCTTAGTGGGCTTCCTAAACTTATTTTGGAGTGGCTTTTTCTGTCTTATTACTCACAGCAACAAGTAAACATCACGTAAAACGTTGCCTCGTGAGTTCTGCGTGCTGCCGTTTACGTGTTTTATGATCACAGCAATTAACCGGCTAAGCTGTATTTAATTTTTAAGCAATGGTTGATCAATTGTCAGATCACACATAAAAAGCACTTTGGATTGCTATTATCTGTCTCACCGAGACTTCTTACGTGTAAATCTGTTATTTGTCCGTCCATCCATCCATTTTCATCCGCGTATCCGGAGTCGGGTTGCGGGGGCAGTAGCGTGACTTCCCTCTCCCCAGCCGCCGGAGCCAGCTCCTCCGGGTAAATCCCAAGGGGTTCCCCGGCCAGGTCCAGTAAGAAGTCCGCTCCGACAGCTTCTGGCATCGGAGCGGGCAGTAGAGTCGAGAGTCCCAGACCTTCTCCCCAGCTCCTCCGGGTAAATCCCAAGGGGTTTCCCCGGTCAGGTCCGGTGTTGTGCCGGTAAGAAGTCCGCTACGACAGCTTCTGGCGTTTTTAAAAAGTATCCCAGGGGCACGGTAAGGGTCGGAGATGTTTAGTCTATTTAATTTCTGACTAAATGAAACGATTTCTTCTGTTTTAAAGTGTGAAGTAAACTCCGACGAAGTAAAATCCAAGCGGATCCCATTCATGTTCATGGTTACATCCGTGTTTGTTTACCTTTTTTGCATGCCAAAATGGCGTCCACTAACTGAGAGTCACGTGGGGTCCGGAGCTCTATATAAGGAACCCAGCAGGTTGCATCGAGTCACTGACTAGTGAGTCTTTACAGCAATCCTCATACTAAGCAAGCATGCAGCGACAGTGGAGAGGAAAACTCCTTTTTAACAGGAAGAAACCTCCAGAGGATCCTGGGTGTGTCCGAATCCACGGGCAGGATGCTTATGAGTACGGGTCCTAAAACCAGAACCCAGCGGCTCCGAATTCGGACAGTCTGGCCTTCACCTCTACGGTGGCCCGTAGGTCCAGTCCCAGCCGTGGCGGCAGCTACACGCAGAGGAAAAATGCTAAAGCTAGCGAAAATGGAGCAGGAATATTAAGGAGCTGCAGCAGCTTCACGTCCATCAGCAGCGTTTGTTCACAACCGTTTTCAGGTAAAGTAATTTTGTTTGTTCTAGAAGCTTTCAGGACTTACATGTTAACTTTAGATGGTTTCATGTATGTTTTAAGCTACAGAATGAACTTGTTAAACGTACACAACACATTTCTACAGAGTATTATCATGTAGGTAATTAATATAAACCAAATGCATTATAAATGTTGAATGCAGCGGGATGTTTTTTAATGTAAATTGGACCTTAGAACTTCTTATTTAGCATCAATTGAGGATAAAACGTTTAAAAAACAGTCTTTTTAATAAAATAGCATTGAAGTGTTTTCAATGTGCATTTGTTTATTCAACTTAAGCCTAATAATGATTAGATCTGTCTTAAAAATGTAAATTCTCTGTAGTTTTCCCTGCTGCTTTTCTTTAAACTGAACAGAATCAGTGTACTGCAGGTTTTATGTTCGTTTTACATTTTTTAATTAAAAACCTCTTATTTAATCTATTACAGGTCAGTGTGCACTGTGCTGCACATCTGCCTCTGTGCTGGTGAAGTTGTGGGTCTGGAGGATGAGCGTGAGGAAGATGTGTGTGGAGGAGGTCAGCGGTGCTCTGTCCTGCAGGAGGTACCAGCAGACCACCACTACTGTTAACAGGCAAGTCATTCATGTAGGAACCTCTATTAAAAACAACACTGTGGTTTTATTTGCTGAAGAGTCACAATTGTTATACCGGTGGATCCATAAACCATCTCCTCATTTCATATTTCTGAATACGTCTTAGAGATGTAACAGCCGTCGTCTGAGCCAGCCCAGCAGTCCCTGTAGATGGACGATGGAGTGGACAGTGAGAGGAAGCGTCCCAAAGCTCTCTCTGCAGACCGTCCTGTATGATGTTCCTCTGACCAGAAACGTCCAGCCACGGGTCTGCTCCAGCCCTCCATCCACGTCTGGATCCTCCTGCAGCAGATCCAGCTGCACTGTTAAAGACTTCCTGCTCAGTCAGTTTAAATAAATGATCCAGGAAGAGTCACTCAGGTTAATCCTGCTTTAACCGTACATAACTGGTCCATACTGGTTTTGATCTGTAAATAAGTTTAACCTATTATAAATAATCTTGCCTCCTTACCATCTTTTCATTTTCTGTTCATGTAACATGTTCAAAAACATCTAATAAAACTGGTGATAAAATCAATGACCAGAAAGAGTTATCAGTTAGTATTTGTTTTAATAAATGTGTTCAAATATCAAACAGCTAAATAACATCAACATGATGGCAGTAGAAGACCTCTCGCACAGCAGAACACAGAAGAACTACTGTACTCGTAAACCGCTTCACTCTTCACCTCTAAGCTTAATAAAAACGCTCTGTTGTCCCTAAAACAAATGACAAGTTTAATTCGCCACACACACACACACGGGAATAACTGGGACCTACGAAACAAACTCGTTCTGGCTGATTTCTGCCTAAAATGTAATTTAAAAAACTAAAACATACAAACAAAAAATGTCTATAAACAGAACCGCTTTTTAGGTTTCTACGGCTAGTTTTTAACAAACTTACGTTTATAACTTCGTAGCTTTCCCCATTTTCTCTTCCTGTTGAAAATCCAGAGCCGGCGCGCAAAGCATGCTGGGATAGCCTTGTTCTGTGAGGATACAACAGACCCGTGATGTCATGCTAATTACGAACTTTTACAAGCTGATAAATGTCAACGTACGTGACTGGCATGCTGCCTCACTTACTGAGGAAGAAGAAATCACATTAGGGAGGATGCTAAAGATTTAGTTTCTAATAGAATAATTTTACTTGTAAAAAATCCCATGAAGTCATTGCTGCTGAGGGCTAAGGGAATAGATGGCTCAGAGCTATGATTCTGTGTAAGTTTAGCAACTGTACTGAAAATAAATTCAGGATTATGCTTATTCTCCTCAGTTAATGCTAAAAATAAGCAGTTCTAGTTTGTTGAAGCTTATTTTTATAAAGCACAAGACTATTTTTCCAGGATAGGTAGGCCTCCTCATGGTGCGTAGAGCGCCATGTTCTCTCCAATTTCCTAGAGTTTTGTTTTAAGGCTCGTAAATGAGAATTAAACCAGGGAGCCAACTTCCTGTCCCTAATTACCTTCTTTTTTAAAGGGGCAACATCATCTAATGCCACACGTAAAGAGGAATTAACATGATAAACTAAGGCATCAATTTGTGAGGGGCTAGAAATGAAAATATTGCCCTCTGCTACATGCCTCTGAGATGCTGAGGACAGTAAAGATGGAACAGTTGATTTAAAAGATGCAACTGCGTTGTCAGATAGAGACCGACTACACTGAAATTTACTTTCATGTCTCGAGAACTCAGTTATAAAAAACTCAAAGGTTATCAGAAAGTGGTCCGAGAGGACTGGATTATGTGGAAAGTTCGTTATTTCCTCACACTCTATGCCATAAGTCAGCACAAGGTCCAATGTATGATGGCAGGAGTGGGTGGAGCTATGTATTCTTTGAGTAGAACCAATTGAGTCTAAGATATTACTAAAGGCTACATTGAGGCTATCATTTTCAATGTCCACATGAATATTAAAATCCCCCACTACAATGACCTTATCAGTATTTAGCACCAAATCAGATAAAAAAATCAGAGATCTGATCCAAAAACTCAGAGTAAGGGCCTGGTGGACGATATAAAACTACAAACAAGAGTGGTTTTACAGTTTTGCTATCTGGATTAGGAAAACTAAGAATATGTTCGAACGAACTGTAGCTATTAATTGGTAATGGACTGATTAATACATCCGAATGAAAAATGGTTGCTACTCCTCTTCCTCACCCTGTACTTTGAGCAATATGATGATTTAAATAATTTGAAGGAGTCGACTCGTTTAAGCTAACATAGTCCTCTTGCTACAGCCAGGATTCTGTGAGAGAGAGCAAAGAGATCTGATTATCACAAATCAAGTCATTAACTAACAAAGTCTTAGAAAAAATGGATCTAATGTTCAACAACCCACATTTAATTTTTCTAGTTTTCTGCTCAGTTGGATTTGTTCTAATATTTATGAGATTTCCATGATTTGCTTTATTAAGCCTGATATTTAATCTGTGTGATTTTGGCTGTGGGCAGGACACTGTCTC